AGAGAAGTGTAAGAAACTCATTCATGGTTACAGGAAGTGATTGATTTCAATTATTTTTTCCAAAGGGGGTGCTACCAAATATTAACTTAAGGGTGCCAATAATTTTGGCCAGTGCATTTTCGGGTTTCTGTGTGGGATTGTATCAGTGACTTCTCTGTTGTTTTGTGTTGTTCCAACGAAAACCAAAGAAATGAACATGTGAGTACCAAGACATTTGCAACTGCAACAATTTTTTGAGAGAAGGGTTGCATGTTCTGACAGAATTGCAAGGGCTCCAATATTTTGGCCATGACTCTATGTTGTTGTTGTTTAGTTGTTAAGTCTTGTCTGACTCTTCATGACCCATAGACCAGAGCACACCAGGCCCTCCCTGTCTTCCATTACCTCCCGGAGTTGGTTCAAATTCATGTTAGTCGCTTCGATGACACTGTCCAACCATCTCGTCCTCTGACGTCCCCTTCTCCCTCTTGCCTTCACACTTTCCCAACATCAGAGTCTTTTCCAGGGAGTCCTCTCTTCTCATGAGATGGCCAAAGAATTGGAGCCTCAGCTTCAGGATCTGTCCTTCCAGTGAGCACTCAGGGTTGATTTCCTTCAAAATGGATAGGTTTGTTCTTCTTGCAGTCCAGGGGACTCTCAAGAGTCTCCTCCAGCACCACAGTTCAAAAGCATCAATTCTTTGGCGGTCAGCCTTCTTTATGATCCAGGTCTCACTTCCATACATTGCTACTGGAAAAACCATAGCTTTGACTATGCGGACCTTTGTTGGCAAGGAGAGGCCTCTGGTTTTTAAAATGCTGTCTAAGTTTGTCATCGCTTTCCTCCCAAGAAGCAGGCGTCTTTTAATTTTGTGGCTGCTGTCCCCATCAAGGAGTCCAAGAAAGTAAAATCTGTATAGTGACTGTATAGTGCAATATTTCTCTGCATCATGGAGTCCAAGAAAATAAAATCTGTATAGTGACTGTATAGTGTATAGTGCAATATTTCTCTCTTCCTTCCTCCACTGTCCAAATTCATTGTGGAGAATTTCTCCAAAAGCTTCCCTAAACAAATCTGGTTTTAGGAACTTTTTAAAGATGCAGAGGTAGGGTGCCTGCCTTCTTGCTGGAGGGCATTCCACAAGTGGGGCACCACTACTGCGAAAGCCCAGTTCTTCACAGTCTCCGTGAATCACACATATGGATTATGTAGTGAGCATGCGCAAAGCTTTGAAACATTCTAGAGCTGAGAAACAGAGACCGTTGGTCATCTCTTCCCAGTGTGCATGTGTTGATGTGTGTCAGTACTGCCTGTTTGTGAGGTATTTACAGTGTTAATAACAGGGACACAGATTTAATAAGGTCCTTGGTAGATGCGCACTCCTTGCCACTTAGCTGCACAAGATCCTGTCTTGTGGGGACACGTAATAGTGGGAATAATGTTGGAGGATGTGCTTTCCACTTCTAAAAATGCACTTCTTCATAAAAATAACTACCAGTATAACCGATTAGTACAACACCAGTCAGACTGTCCAGTTTTGAAGTTGTAGTTAAGGGTTTACTGTAATGTATGTATTAAATATTTATTACAAATATATACCCATACACAAGATCTATATGGTTGTAGACTAGGTTGAAGCATAACTTAAAACCAACTCTGTGTGTGTGTGCGCGCACGTGTGTGTGTGTGTGCACGCGCTAGCTGGAAAAATCCCTGGAAAAAATAATGCTGGGAAAAGTTGATGGCAACAGGAAAAGAGGAAGACCAAATATGAGATTAATTGACTCCATCAAGGAAGCAACAGCTTTGAGTTTACAAGAGTTGAGCAGGGCTGTTGAGAGCAGGATATAATGGCCTAAAATGGCCGCGCGCAGCGTTTTCGCGCCCTCGTTAAGCGAGGCGAGGGCGCGAAAATGGCTGCCGGCCATTACGAAGCTTTGTTGAACGGTGAGTATTTGGCCCATTTGGAACGCATTAAACCATGTTTAATGCGTTCTAATGGGCTTTTCTGTACCGTTTAACGATGCTTCAGCATAGCGAAGGTTAATCCGGAACGGATTAACCTCGCTATGCGAGGCACCACTGTATACCCATACACAAGATCTATATGGTTGTAGACTAGGTTGAAGCATAACTTAAACTGTGTGTGCGTGCACGTGCTAGCTGGAAAAATCACTGGAAAAAATAATGATGGGAAAAGTTGATGGCAACAGGAAAAGAGGAAGACCAAATATGAGATTGATTGACTCCATCAAGGAAGCAACAGCTTTGAGTTTACAAGAGTTGAGCAGGGCTGTTGAGAGCAGGATATATTCATAGGGTTGCCATAACTCGGAGGTGATTGATGGGCGTGTAACACGAACATACACTAGCCAGATCTGCTAAATTGCATCCCAACTCATTTAAGGTATAAATTTTTTCCACTTCAAAATTTATCACAAAACCCATAAAGCTGACTTTGAAAGGATATTCCGAAAGAAGTTTGAAAGGAAAATATTTTGTAAGAACTGTCTGAATAATCATTTGGATTATTGTGGTAGGCTACCACACATGCGTGGAGTGGTGGTGCTGAGAGGCCTTGCTCTGTGTGTTTTGATCCCACTTAGCATAACAGAGTCTTTCATAGCACAGCTATGGCGCCTTGGCTTTATAGCTTATATTATAAAGGCTCCTGCTGTGAGGTCTGGCAATTCTCTGCTGAAGTGGTGGCCATCTCATAAGCACTTCAGGGCTTTGTTAAGGTATATGTTTAACAATAAAACTCTTCTTTCCACATAAAGTTATCCCATTCTAAATTTACAAGTTAGAATAGAATACCTCTGTGTGAGTTTCACATTACAGCAACCTATTGTATGCCATCTAGATAGTTGATCCATGAGTGGAAGGAAATGGTTGAAGGTGCCTTTGTGTTACAACCCATTCCTTCTCTGACCTCCAGCTCTATTTATACATCCTACAGAGGTTATTTCTTATGATGCTTATCATGTAAATTCCATACAAGAAAATAATTATACATAATTTTGTTATTTAAGCAAAATATGTTGAGAAATAAGTGTGCCCTCTAACCTAGTTTAATAGTAATAAATTATTTATTTAACTAGAATTAACTTATTCTAGTTAAATAAACAAATAAATGAAATAACCGTGTCCAGCTTCTTTTTTTAAAGCAGGCGAAGACAAAAACTTCCATTTCTTTTCCATCCTCATTGCCACCTTACCCTTCTAAATATTTTCAAAGTCTGATATCCATTTTTCTCTCCTTGTTTACAGCTGTTGGGGCTCAAGCTAAGATATCGTTCACCAAGGAGCCCTATTCCCAAGACGTTTTGCATGGCCGCAGTGCCATCTTGCGCTGCGAAGTGCAGGAACCCAGTGACATCGAGTTTGAGTGGCTGCAGAATGGGGTCCCTGTTCAAGATAATGAACGCCGTTTCAAGGAAGGGAGCAACCTTCAGTTCACCTCCGTGGATCGGCAGCAAGATGGTGGGAATTTCCAGTGCGTGGCCAGGAATACGGTGACTGGAGAAGAAGCTCGGACAACAAATGCGTCTTTCAACATAAAGTGTGAGCACCTTGCGCACAGCCTAATCTCAATTAGTCTTGGTTAAACTATGCTGACAGGGCACATAACAGGAAACCTCAGTCAGTTGCACCTCCATGTGTTTGTCTATTCAGGGGAATAGGAACATGTAGCTGTTTTTAGTTAGGATGATGTTACAAACAAAGAGTTGACACCCCAAATCCCAGTTAAGCAAAATTTGGGAATAACATAATATACATAGTTTTTTCCATAACCTTTATAAATGATATAATTGCTCCATACTTGCACAGCTTTGTTTGCTCTTTAATCAGAGCTCTGGGTTTTCTTTGTGTTGTGTCTTCTGTTTCATGGGAGTGCTTGAAGCCAATGGAGTTCATGCGTTAATGGCATATGAAATATAACAACTCTCTAGAAAATGGGGGACTATTAGTATGGATGTTCTCTTTGTAAGATAGATGATCACAGGATCATTGGTAAGGGAGAACAGACAAGTTAGTACAGTGGTGCTTCGCAAGACGATTGCCTCATGGGAGGACTAATCCGCAAGACGGTTGGTTTTTGCAATCGCTGTTGCACTTCGCAAGACGATGTTTTCTATGGATGATTTTCACAAGATGACTATTTTTCCATTGGAAAACATTAAATAGATTTCAAAGCATTCCAATGGAGAACCGCGTATCGCAAGACAATGTTTTTGCAAGACAGTGTTTTTCACAGAATGAATTAACATCGTCTTGCAAGGCACCACTGTAGTTAAACACCAAGAAATGCATCTTGCTGTTCTTAAGGAGGGCGACTCAGAGTGTATGCAACAGTGTGAAGTATGGATTACACTTAGAGATGGGGGTATTCATATTCGAATAGCCGTGCACAGTTGGATTTAACAAGGGGCTAGCCCTGTGGGCGGGCCATCCACTCCCACCTCTGGCAGCGGTCTCGCTTCTCCTTCCAGTCGCTTCCGGAGCCCCACTCTTTTCTCACTCGGCTAGCCACTCCAGGCAGTGGGAGGGAGGGCGAGTCTACCTGCATGGTTGCTGAGTCGATAGCTGAGCAAGAAGAGATCCGAGATCCAGGAGTGATTGGAAAGATGAGCAAGATTGCTGCTGGACATGTGAATGGATGGGCTGGCTACACAGGGATATTCATATACGAATACAAATGCCCCCATCTCTAATTACACTGTACAGTATGTGAAACATCTTACTTTTAATTTCTCGGTTGTCAAAAAATGCCATTTTTCTGCAGTTACTCTTAAAGTCATATTTGTTAACCATGCATGATGGGTTTTTCCTTTTCTTTTTGCAGCATGCACGAATACAGGTCTTAAAATATGTACTTGCAGCTGTTTTTCTTATATTGGAAATGTGTGGATATTGGTAGTCCCCATACACTCACATATACACTCTCCTGAATGTGCTGGCACAAGTGTATGCTTAGCAGGTGTCGAGGAAACAGGATACTGGCGAAAATGCTATTCTTCCCCAGGCAGACAAAACAATTTAAAAAGGGCCTATTATCTTGGCTCATAGCCAGGTTTGAAGACACATAATACTGTATAGCCTCCTCTCGGAAACTGAACTGGCTTGGAAAATAGAGTTGAAATATCTAAGTATCTCTCCATGAACTGCAGCAGGAGATTCCCCCAAGGAAAGCAGTTGCCAGTTGCTAAAATGGTGAGACGGACGTGTATCCTGGGCCCTGCTCCCATCCCTAGTTATTACTAGGGTTTTATTAGCTCTTTGAGCCAGGCCATAGTTACAGTTACTATCTAATCCCCCTTCCTGGTTCAGAGTTAGATAAAGGTAAAGGTTCCCCTTGACATTTAGTCCAGTCGTGTCTGACCCTAGGGCGTGGTACTCGTCCCCCTTCTCTAACGCATATAGCTAGCGTTTGTCCGAAGACAGTTTCCGTGGTCACATGGCCAGCGTGACTAGACATGGAACACCGTTACCTTCCCACCGAACTGGTACCTATTTATCTACTCGCATTTTAACATGCTTTCTAACTGCTAGGTTGGCTCAGAGTTAGGCTAGACTAAAAGGAGTTGTAGGAGATTTGCAAGATGCCAGATAGAAGTCTGAGAGAGAGAGAGAGAGAGAGAGAGAGAGTGCTTGGTTTGGCCTGCCAGTTTAGTTTTAACACTCCAGGTGTAAATCCTCAGTCTGGCACAGATGATGTTTGCCTTTCTTTTTTCCTCCACTCACCCCTGATGAATTCTGGTGCACAGAACCATAAGGAACGCAAGGACCTCATTAGGAGGCCAGCTGCACTGCTGAAGTATGATTAGATCACACATGCTGTGGTCCCCACCTGCTGTCTGTTTGCTTGGCATTGAGACTTTGATAGCAGAAGGTCTGTCTTGGAGACATCCCAGGACTTTTGTACTGCTTCCAAAAGGCACAAATGCTGTATGTGACCAAATAATTTAGAAATACATGCCTTTGATATGAGAGACTGGAGTTCACTGCACTTTTATCATGATAGGAGCTGCTTCTCGTGGCATATGTACTACTGCCTCTGACCAGCATACATCTAATTCCCTCTCTGGATATTGGGGTGATCAACTAAATACAGTAAAATAATAGAAATCTAATTTTTCTGAGTCTCTGACTGTAGGCAACACGTAACACTTCTTCTCGATGTAGGCCTTCTATTCTCAGACTCCTGGCCTTTGGCTGGACCTAAACTAAGTGTTGTAGATCTGACTTGTGGACCATCTGAACAAGTGACTTCCAAAATATCACACTACCAGCAGCCCTGCTCGGCTCTTGTAAACTCAAGGCTAAGTAGATCAGAAGATGAATCTCTTCTGCTTCAACGTTTTCAAATGCTAAGTGGAAATTGTGTGTAGGCAAAAGAAGATTTGCTTCTTACTAGTTCCTTCACTTTGCTTTTCTGATGTAAGGATTCTAATAGTTGATGTGTACATACTTTTCTTGGTCCAGTGTGAAATAGTAGGTACAGTGGTGCCTCACTTAATGGCGATAATCCGTTCCAGGAAAATCCCTGTTAAGCAAAAACTTCGTAAAGCTTAAATAAAAAGCCCATTGAAACGCATTGAAAAACGTTCAATGCGTTCCATTGGGTTAAAAACTCACCGTCCAGCAAAGATCCTCCATACGGCGGCCATTTTCAGTGCCTGTATAGCGAGGAATCCTCCCTAAACACAGCAGGGAGTCATTTTAATCACCCGGCAGCCATTTTGAAAACCCGTAATGCAAAGAATCAGTTCCTGAAACGGAACTAATCATCGCAAAGTGAAATTCCCCCATTTAGATCATAGTTTTGTGATCGCAAAAGTGATCGCAAAAACGTCATTGTGTAACACATTCGTCATAATGCGGGGTAATCATAAAGTGGGGCACGACTGTAACTAGGTACATTGTATTACCCATGTGTAAGCAAGAATGGTGCAGGTTTGCTATGCAATTCGTCATAATGCGAGTGGTGCCCCGCTTAATGATTGCCCCGCTCCACGACGAAATCGCTTAACGATGAGGTTTTTGCAATCGCAATAGCGATCGCAAAATGATGTTTAAATAGGGAAAATCCACTTGACGATGATTGGTTCCCTGCTTCGGGAACCGATTTTTCGCTTTACAACGATCAAAACAGCTGATCGTTGGGGTTTCAAAATGGCCGCCCACTGGTCAAAATGGCTCCCCGCTGTGTTTAGGGTGAATTTTTTTGCTTTACAGGCACCGGAAAATGGCCGCCCTATGGAGGATCTTCGCTGGACGCTGAGGTATTTCGCCCATTGGAATGCATTGACCGGTTTTCAGTGCATTTCAATTGGCTTTTTACTTTCACTTGACGACAATTTCGTTCTACAGCAATTTTGCTGGAACGGATTATCGTCGTCAAGCAAAGCACCACTGTAGTTCTCTTTAGCCACTACGTGCAGTCAGACAGAGATGGAAGTATCATAGCATTCTTAGGCTGACCTTTTGACACCTGGTGCTGGATATATGGATGTTTCAACTTCTAAGATAGCATAGAGGGAGGAGGCCTCCAAGTTACTCCTGTTCTCTCTCTTTGTTTTGTCAGGGATCGAAACAGGAGGCATTGTCTTGAAGAACCCAGCCAGTGTGGAGGATATACAGAGTTCTGCTCCAGTGACATTACGTTGCCATATTGATGGACATCCACGGTAAGGAGCTGCTAACGTAAGAAAATCTGTATTTTTTGCTGGCTGTCTTTCCTTTTCCTCTGCTGCCTGAAACTTTTCTTCTACAAGAAACAGTGGAACAGTAAACACAGTTGAATTGATCCTAAAAAAGAAGGTATTTTCCATCTAACATCATTTTTCATCCTTAAGTTGCTGTGCTGATATGAAGATGATGGAGCTGGTTTAACGAATAGGATTATGACTTCTTGGAACAACCTAGTTTTATGATTTTGCTTTCTAGAAGTGTTGTTGAATTTACCAATTTTCATCTGAATATATGAGCCTTGACCCACTTGTGTTGAGAGAAACAATTAGGGAGGTGATCATTGACTCTTGCTGTTGTTCATATTTGTTCAACTGTCTTCATGTTATAGCCCAACAAGTCAGTGGTTCCGGGATGGCACACAGATTGTAGACGATCGTACCAACTACTCGGTCAGCAACAAGGAACGGACGTTGACTCTCAAGAGTGCCAGCCCCGATGACAATGGGATCTATTATTGTTGTGCTCGAAATGCTGTGGCCTTTGTGTGCAGCAGTAATAACTTCACTCTCAACATAATAGGTAAAAACACATGCTTTCTTCATTTTCCAACCATAGGGAAGACCTCAGATGTGTTTATAAAGCCCTCTTTTGTGTTAGACACAGACTGGACATATGGTGTTATGTTTGAAACGGCATTCATGCTCATGGGCACATCTGAAATCCAGCAAGGGCTTCATGCCACTTCTTACAACAGTGCCAAACAAACACCGGGTTCTTTTACTGATATGTATGAAACAGAGCTGCAGCGAAAGGACTGCTCCAAGTATCTTGATTCTTGGTTGCAAATGCATTCTGCAAATATGTTCTAATAGTTTTTAAAACATATGACTCAGTGTGTGTGTGTGTGTGTGTGTGTGTGTGTGTGTATATATATATATATATTTAAATTGTGTATTATGGCTATGCCTTTATTAAGCCAATCACAAGAGTACAAAATAGGTTTAATCAAGATTCCTGGCTCTCTTCATCATACAAGATGCCGCAGAAAACATCTGAAGGGAAGAGAAAGGGAAAAGAAACTTGTTCTTAACATATAGCATTTGCATAGTTGTCTTGAAACATTGGGAGGAAGAACGATCTCAGGACACCGAAATGGAGCTATATCCCATAGTGCTGTAGTATTGTGTTTCATCTGTCATGCCGTCTAGGTATTCCATAAACAGGGAAAGGAGCAAAGTTTATTTTTCCATTTTTCTAAAAAAAATAAAATAAATCCTGCTGTAGACTGAAACTGTTTCCACCCTGAGAGGGGCTGGCAGATGCATTTGCCAACAGAAAACCAAAGAGCAGCAGTGCTGTCTTGTTATTGGCAAAGATGGAGAAATTTTCGTTCCGCAGGTGGGGAGAAGGTAGCTGTTCTGATGTTACTGGTCTGCTCATCCCAGCATTTCTCACCACTGGCTATGCTGACTTGGGACTGGTGGGAGTTTCTGCCCAGCTACATCTGACGGACTACACTCTGCTCACCCTGGGTTCAGATGGCTTCACTAGGCAAACACAGGAAGTTGGAACGAAACTGAATAATTTTACTGAGTGGTTGGGAGGGACGAACCATCAAAGTCTGAATTTCAGTGGTGCCATCAGAGGAAAACCGCAGGCTGGTGTACCATTGGGAAACCCTAAGCTGGAAAAGCTCAGTCAGGCCATGCCCAGGCTGGAGACCAGCACTGGCAACTCCCAAGGCTCGCTCCACCACAAGCAAGGCATGTTCTCTTTCAATAACTCCACAGACCCTGGAGTCAGCCTACCCATGCCAGAACCACATTCAGCCTGAGCTCCCAGAGAAACAAGAGACTGCTAGGCTTCAGGCCCAAATTCTGTCCCTTTAAGGCTTCCCATTTTGTGGGCGAGAGTGGAGTCTGCTTTAGCTGAGAGGTATAAAAGGCCTCAGATGTATCCCAGTCTTTTTTTTTTAACATGCTTCCATGGTTGCTAGTGCGGTCCTTGACAGTCAGAGCAGACCTTGTTAGAGCAAAGTGCTCTTCTGGAACTCTTCTAGCTGCCTTACTGTCAACTTGGATGCTACATCTGAGCCACAGGACTACCTGTTGATGTAGAATTGCCAGCCTTTCCAGCTTCTGCCTCTCTTCCTTTGCGAAAGAAAAATGATAAACCTGGATTTGGGAAACACAGTAATAAATGATCGCCTCTCCATGTCCTCCTCCTCCTTCTCACCGTAGACGAAAGCTTCCCCAGCCCAGTGATTGTTCCTGAGAACCAAATCGTCAACAAGAACGAGGAGGCCATGTTCCATTGCAAGTTTGAAGCGGTGCCACCTCCCACTCAAGAATGGTTATTTGAAGACTCGCCTGTTAACAATCAGAGCAGGTAAGAGGCACCTGGGGGGGAGACCAAAAGCCAACTGGTGGATCCTGCTGCTGCTCTTTGAAGCAGAAGTGTCCTGCTCAAAAAGGATCTCTTATATTACTCTTGTGTACATACAAGCCACAGAACCCAGGCTTCTGCATTGCTGCTGGTGTTGACATCAGGAAAGCTTTCAGATCAACTCAGCATCGGCTATCTACGCTGAGTAGATGCACATCTGGTAAAGTGATGAGTGTGTTAATTGCCCATGATGATCGGATTCCCCTCTTTGAATAAAACACCAGTTTCTGCTCAGATTACTCTTTTTTTACTCCCATTAGCTACCTGTTTTAAAAGAGTTTTTCAGACGGGCCACATCACAGTGGAGACTGAAGTGACCATCTCTACCTTTCAATGATTTTAACTATATTGATTATTGTGAGGATTTAGAATTTTGTATTATGCCTTTGTTGTTGTTTTTAATTGTATTTGGCAGCTGCTTTGAGTGCTATTTTTAGTGGAAAGTTGGGAGAAATTATAATAATAAAGAGAAATAAAAATAATCAAAATCACTGATAATATTATTAGATGGCAGCACCTTTTGTTGCCTGCAAGCATCTGGCGCTCAACCGCAGACTTCAGAACTTCATTTCTCCTTTTCCCCAAAGGATTTTGGTGTTTTCCAATGGCTCTATACTAATAACTCAGGTGAAACGACGCAGTGCTGGAGTCTACAAATGTGTTGGTCGTGGACAGAGGGGGAAACCTGTTATCTTAGAAGCTACCCTTCAGATTGCAGGTATGAACTGGTATCTGGGACTTTTTCCTAGTTTAGTAGACTTTAAATTGATGTCTGTTAGACTTAATTCCCAATTGAAGAAAGCTGTCTAGGAAATTCTTCTTGATAACTTTTTTCTCTGACCCTGAATACTGTAGAACCCCCCCTATCCACGGGATCAGTATCCACGGATTCACTTTTCCACTGCCTGAAAATGCTAAATTAAAATAACAAGAACAGAAATATGTATTTATACTCATTTTGAGGGTGTATTTACCAGAACTGGCTGCTGGATAGAGCCAGAGACCATGCAATGTATAGTGTTTGGTACTTCTGCGTTTTTTTGGCATCTGTGAGGGGAAGGGGATTGGAATCGGTCCCCCACGGATACCATGGTCTTACTGTACTTCCTTGTAGTAATGTAAGTTTTATTTTATTTTTATCTTTATCTTTTTCTTGTATATTAATTTATTTATTTTATTTATTACATTTATAGCCTGCCCATCTAGTCATATACAGTGGGGTCTCAACTTACGAACCTAATCCGTATTGGAAG